TGCTGGAGCGATTATTCACAAATGGAAGAAATACATAATAACCATGAATCGCCCTCGGTCTGGAGCTCCATGCAGGATTTCACCTCATGGGGCAAGGAATGACCATGAGAAAAGTGAGGGATTAGCCAAGAACTACACGGGAGGAGCTTGTGAATGATCTCAAGACATGTTGGACCACAGTCACCAAACACACCATTGGTAACACAATATGCCACCATGGATTGAAATCCTGCAGCGCCCACAAGGTCCCCCTCCTCAAGAAAGCACATGCGCAGCCCATCTGAAGTTTGCCAATTAACATCTAAATGATTCAGAGAAGGACTAGGAGAAAGTGCTGTGATGAGGTGACACCAAAATTTAGCTCTTTGGCATTACCTCAGCTCGCCGTGTTTGTATTCCTTCACCAACTACAAGGGTTCCTTCACCAACTACAAGAGACGTCTCACCTCTGTGCTCGCCAACAAGGGTTCCTCCACCAACTACAAGAAAGGTCTCACCTCTGTGCTCGCCAACAAGGGTTCCTCCACCAACTACAAGAGATGTCTCACCTCTGTGCTCGCCAACAAGGGTTCCTCCACCAACTACAAGAGACGTCTCACCTCTGTGCTCGCCAACAAGGGTTCCTCCACCAACTACAAGGAATGTCTCACCTCTGTGCTCACCAACAAGGGTTCCCCCACCAACTACAAGGAACGTCTCACCTCTGTGCTCACCAACACGGGTTCCTCCACCAACTACAAGGAACGTCTCACCTCTGTGCTCACCAACAAGGGTTCCTCCACCAACTACAAGGAACGTCTCACCTCTGTGCTCCCCAACAAGGGTTCCTCCACCAACTACAAGGAACGTCTCACCTCTGTGCTCGCCAACAAGGGTTCCTCCACCAACTACAAGGAACGTCTCACCTCTGTGCTCACCAACAAGGGTTCCTCCACCAACTACAAGGAACATCTCACCTCTTGTGCTCACCAACAAGGGTTCCTCCACCAACTACAAGGAACGTCTCACCTCTGTGCTCACCAACAAGGGTTCCTCCACCAACTACAAGGAACGTCTCACCTCTGTGCTCACCAACAAGGGTTCCTCCACCAACTACAAGGAACGTCTCACCTCTGTGCTCCCCAACAAGGGTTCCTCCACCAACTACAAGGAACGTCTCACTTCTGTGCTCACCAACAAGGGTTCCTCCACCAACTACAAGGAACGTCTCACCTCTGTGCTCACCAACAAGGGTTCCTCCACCAACTACAAGGAACGTCTCACCTCTGCTCTCGCCAACAAGGGTTCCCCACCAACTACAAGGAACGTCTCACCTCTGTGCTCACCAACAAGGGTTCCTCCACCAACTACAAAAGACGTCTCAACTCTGTGCTTCCAACAAGGGTTCCTCCACCAACTACAGGAAACAACTCACCTCTGTGCTCACCAACAAGGGTTCCTCCACCAACTACAAGACACGTCTATCCTCTGTGCTCGCCAACATGGGTTCCTCCACCAAGTACTAAATCAGGTTTTGCTTTGTATTGTGTTGTTTCTGGATTTTGGTTGATTTTCTGTCTCTATCATTTATATACACCTATGATAAAAATTATAGACCGATCATTTCTGTGTAAGTGGGAGGAACTTACAGAATCTGCTGGGGGTCAAATCATCATTTTCCCCAATGTGTGTACATATATCCTGGCACAGTGATTCACAGTGTCAGGGTTCCCCAGAAGAGGTAACTTATGGATGCCATCTTCAATGTTGAGGTGTGTGGGGTCAGTCAGGACGGTCCTCATCCTTCCCCTCCTTATCTTGGGGTGTGTGGGGTCAGTCAGGACGGTCCTCATCCTTCCCCTCCTTATCTTGGGGTGTGTGGGGTCAGTCAGGACGGTCCTCATCCTTCCTCTGCTTATCTCGGGGTGTGTGGGGTCAGTCAGGATGGTCCTTATCCTTCCTCTCCTTGTCTCGGGGTGTGTGGGGTCAGTCAGGACGGTCCTCATCCTTCCCCTCCTTATCTTGGGGTGTGTGGGGTCAGTCAGGACGGTCCTCATCCTTCCTCTCCTTGTCTCGGGGTGTGTGGGGTCAGCCAGGACGGTCCTCATCCTTCCTCTCCTTATCTCGGGTGTGTGTGGGGTCAGTCAGGACGGTCCTCATGCTTTCTCTCCTTATCTTGGGGTGTGTGGGGTCAGTCAGGACGCTCCTGATCCTTCCACTCCTTATCTCGGGGTGTGTGGGGTCAGTCAGGACGCTCCTCATCCTTCCACTCCTTATCTCGGGGTGTGTGGGGTCAGTCAGGACGCTCCTCATCCTTCCACTCCTTATCTCGGGGTGTGTGGGGTCAGTCAGGTTGGTCCTCATGCTTCCTCTCCTTATCTCGGGGTGAGTGGGGTCAGGACACTCCTTATCCTCTGCCTCTCCTTGCAGGATAAATGTGCCGAGTTCTTCATGTTGGCCTCCCAGACTGTGACCAGGTTTGTGGATTCTCTGGGTGAGAAGCCGCAGGATGAAGAGGATGAAGATGGCTGCTATGTTCTCGGGCTTGCCGGTATTGTGACCAGTGAGTAGAAGGGGATTCTGGGAAATGATGGGAATGGAGAGATTCTAGTATAGACTGCGACCAGCTGGGAGAAGTCAGACGTCACAAGGAGACAGAGACAGAGTCAGTACAGAGAGTGTCAGAGACAGAGTCAGTACAGAGAGTGTCAGAGACAGTACAGAGAGAGACAGAGACAGAGTCAGTATAGAGAGAGACAGAGTCAGTACAGAGAGAGACAGAGACAGAGTCAGTATAGAGAGAGACAGAGTCAGTACAGAGAGTGTCAGAGACAGTACAGAGAGAGACAGAGTCAGTACAGGGAGAGACAGAGTCAGTACAGGGAGAGACAGAGTCAGTACAGAGAGTGTCAGAGGCAGAGTCAGTACAGGGAGTGTTAGAGACAGAGTCAGTATAGAGAGAGACAGAGACAGAGTCAGTATAGAGAGTGTCATAGAGAGTGTCAGAGACAGAGATCTGAGCCCAATTCTTGGTACTGAGGTGTCTGGGTCTATCCTGGTTTAGGATTGGTCGAATCCTGATCTCCATGCCCATCACCGGACCCCCTGGTGAGCCCAGAACCCCCTTGTCACATGACTGGCGGGTTCTTTATAGACTGTGTTTTTCTGTAGCATGGAGTGCTCCTCCGTGTGGGAGATGTGGTGGCTTTGTGTTTGGTGGGGGCTGCTCCGTGCAGTTGATGTGGTGACTTTGTGTTTGGTGGGGGCTCCTCTGTGCTGGTGATGTGGTGGCTTTGTGTTTGGTGGGGGCTCCTCCGTGCGGGCGATGTGGTGGCTTTGTGTTTGGTGGGGGCTCCTCCGTGCGGGTGATGTGGTGGCTTTGTGTTTGGTGGGGGCTCCTCCGTGCTGGTGATGCGGTGGCTTTGTGTTTGGTGGGGCTCCTCCGTGCGGGAGATGCGGTGGCTTTGTGTTTGGTGGGGGCTCCTCCGTGTGGGAGATGTGGTGGCTTCGGGTTTGGTGGGGGTTCCTCCGTGCGGGAGATGCGGTGGCTTTGTGTTTGGTGGGGGCTCCTCCGTGCGGGAGATGTGGTGGCTTTGTGTTTGGTGGGGGCTGCTCCATGCAGTTGATGTGGTGGCTTTGTGTTTGGTGGGGGCTCCTCCGTGTGGGAGATGTGGTGGCTTTGTGTTTGGTGGGGGCTGCTCCATGCAGTTGATGCGGTGGCTTTGTGTTTGGTGGGGGCTCCTCCGTGTGGGAGATGTGGTGGCTTTGTGTTTGGTGGGGGCTCCTCCGTGCGGGTGATGCGGTGGCTTTGTGTTTGGTGGGGGCTCCTCCGTGCGGGAGATGCGGTGGCTTTGTGTTTGGTGGGGGCTCCTCCGTGTGGGAGATGTGGTGGCTTCGGGTTTGGTGGGGGCTCCTCCGTGTGGGTGATGTGGTGGCTTTGTGTTTGGTGGGGGCTCCTCCGTGCGGGAGATGTGGTGGCTTTGTGTTTGGTGGGGGCTCCTCCGTGTGGGAGATGTGGTGGCTTTGTGTTTGGTGGGGGCTCCTCCGTGCGGGGTGATGCGGTGGCTTTGTGTTTGGTGGGGGCTCCTCCGTGCGGGAGATGCGGTGGCTTTGTGTTTGGTGGGGGCTCCTCCGTGTGGGAGATGTGGTGGCTTCGGGTTTGGTGGGGGCTCCTCCGTGTGGGTGATGTGGTGGCTTTGTGTTTGGTGGGGGCTCCTCCGTGTGCGGGTGATGTGGTGGCTTTGGTTTGGTGGGGGCTCCTCCGTGCGGGTGATGTGGTGTTTGGTTTGGGGGGGCTCCTCCGTGCTGGTGATGTGGTGGCTTTGTGTTTGGTGGGGGCTCCTCCGTGCGGGAGATGTGGTGGCTTTGTGTTTGGTGGGGGCTCCTCCGTGCAGTTGATGTGGTGGCTTTGTGTTTGGTGGGGGCTCCTCCGTGTGGGAGATGTGGTGGCTTTGTGTTTGGTGGGGGCTCCTCCGTGCGGGTGATGTGGTGGCTTTGTGTTTGGTGGGGGCTCCTCCGTGCGGGTGATGCGGTGGCTTTGTTTTGGTGGGGGCTCCTCCGTGCGGGTGATGCGGTGGCTTTGGGTTTTGTGGGGGCTCCTCCATGCGGGTGATGCGGTGGCTTTGGGTTTGGTGCGGGCTCCTCCGTGTGGGAGATGTGGTGGCTTTGTGTTTGGTGGGGGCTCCTCCATGCGGGTGATGCGGTGGCTTTGGAGGCTCCTCTGTCCCGTCGGCTCTACATCCCCTCTGTGTGTAGCGTGCCGTCCTCTCAGAGAAGCTCCAACCCTTCCACCCTCGTAGAGTCCTTCATGCTGGGTACAACGTTGGTGGGATTCCAGGGAACGTCAGACCATATGATGCATGCGATGGTTCCCGGGAGGTGACGCCATCCACAGGACAGACGTGTACATCGCTCAGGAGGTCATTCCATCTGCCGGCTGCTGCACGTGGACAGGACCTTGAAGAAGTCTTCCTCCCCTTGAAACGTTTCTCATGTTGTCATGTGACCACCAGAACCATCAATGTCAAACTGGTGGCCCTCCAGCTGTTGTGAAACTACATGTCCCATCATGCCTCTGCCTTTGGAAGTCATGCTGGTAACGGTCAATCTTGCAATGCCTCATGGGACTTGTAGTTTGGCAACAACTGGAGGATCTCCAGTTTGACACCCGTGTGATAGACTGACACAAAGCGGCCCATCATTGTGAAGTGGAAGGAAAATGAGAAATGGTTTCCAACATTTGTGACCAATAAATCTGTGAGAAGCGTGGAGACATTTGTATTCGGCCCCCCGGAGTCAGTACTTTGTAGGACCCCCTTTGGCTGCCATTCCAGCTGCAAGTCTTTTTGGGGATGTCTCTTTGCACATCTAGAGAGGGACATTTCTGCCCGTTCTTCTTTGAAGGATCCCTCAAGCTGGCAGATTGGATGGAGGGCGTCTGGGAACAGCAATTTTCAGGTCTGGCCACAGATTCTCCATTGGATTTGGGTCTGGACTGTGACTGGGCCATTCTAACACATGAAGATGCTTTGATCGGAACCATTCCATTGTAGGTCTGGCTGGATGTTTCGGGTCATTGTCCTGCTGGAAGGGGAACCTCCGCCCCGGTCTCAAGTCTTCTGCAGACTCTAACAGGTTCTCTTCTAAGATTGCCCTGTATTTGGCTCCATCCATCTTCCCATCAACTCTGACCAGCTTCCCTGTCCCTGCTGAAGAAAAGCCTCCCCACCACATGATGCTACCACCACGTTTCACGGTGGGGATGGTGTGTTCAGGGGGAGGGGCAGTGTTAGATTTCCACCACACATAAAGGCCAAAAAGTCCAATTGTGGTCTCCTCTGCCCAGAGCCCCTTCCACATGTTTGCTGTGCCCCCCACATGGCTTCTCACAAACTGCATACGGGACTTCTTATGGCTTTCCTCCAACAATGGCTTCTTCTTGTCACTCCTCCATAAAGGCCAGATTTGTGGACGACTAATAGTTGTCCTGAGGACAGATTCCCCCCCTGAGCTGTGATCTCTGCAGCTCCTCCAGAGTTCCCATGATCCTCTTGGCTGCTTCTCTGATGAATGCTCTCCTTGCCCGGCCGGTCAGTTTAGGTGGACGGCCATGTCTTGGTAGCTTGGCTCCCATGTTCGGATGATGGATTGAACACAGTGCTCCGTGAGATGGTCAAAGCTTGGGAGATTTATTTATAACCTAAACTGTCTTTAAAACTCTCCTCAACTTTATCCCTGACCTGTCTGGTGTGTTCCTTGGCCTTCATGATGCTGTTTGGTCACTAATGTTCTCTAACAAACCTCTGAGGGCGTCACAGAACAGCTGGATTTATACTGAGATCACATGACACACAGGGGGACTCTATGTACTAATGAGGGACTTCTGAAGGCAATCGGTTCCACTAGATTGTAGTTAGGGGGATCAGAGTAAAGGGGGCTGAATACAAATGCCGCCACACTTTTCACAGATTTATTGCTCACAAATGTTGGAAATCATTTCTCATTTTCCTTCCACTTCACAATGATGGGCCCCTTTGTGTCGGTCTATCACACGGGTGTCAAACTGGAGGTCCTCCAGCTGCTGCCAAACTACAAGTCCCATGAGGCATTGCAAGATTGACCAATACAAGTATGAATTCCAAAGGCAGAGGCATGATGGGACTTGTAGTTTCACAACAGCTGGAGAGCCACCAGTTTGACACCCCCAGCTTATCACATCCAATTCCGATACAATACATGGACGGTTCTGGTGGTCACATGACAACACGGGGGACATTCCAAGGGGGAGGAGGACTTCTCCAAGGCTCTGTAGGTAGTTAGAACCCCTCTCGGGTTTGGAACATCTCGGTATGTTCCTGGTGTCACCAGGACAGGCAATGAGGGGGATTTACTAAACCAGGAGAGTATAAAATCTGATCTATAGAAACCAATCGGCTTCCAGGTTCTACAGTTGCAAGAAAAAGTATGTGACCCCCTTGGGATTCCGTGGAGTTTTGCATGAATTGGGCATAAAATGTGCTCTGAACGTCATCTAAGTCACAACAATAGAAGAACACAGTCTGCTGAACATAATACCACACAAACATTAGATGTTGCCATGGTTTAATTGCACATAACATGTAAACATTCACAGTGCAGGGAGGAAAAAGTATGTGAGGCCCTATCTTAATGACTTCTCCCAGAGCTAACTGGAGCCAGGAGTGAGCCAACCTTGACTCCAATCAGTGTGATGATATTGGATGTGTTGCTGACACCTGTTTTGGGTTTACTGGTTTCAAGAAGCACTGTCTGATGTGAACCATGCCTCGCAGAAACGAGCTCTCAGAAGACCTACCATCAAGAATTGTTGACTTCCATGAAGCTGGAAAGGGTTACAAAAGTATCTCCTTGAGCCTTGATGTTCATGTGTCCACGGTAAGACAGACTGTCTACAAATGGAGAAAGTTTAGCACTGTTGCTACTCTCCCTAGGCGTGGTCGTCCTGTAAAAATGACTGCAAGAGCACAGCGCAGAATGCTGCATAAGGTAAAGAAGAATCCCAGAGTGTCAGCTAAAGACCTACAGAAATCTCTGGCACATGCTAACATTTTTGTTGACACATCTACAATCAGGAAAACATGAAACAAGAATGGAGTACATGGGAGGACACCACGGAGGAAGCCATTGCTGGCCAAAAAGAAGATTGCAGCACGTTTGAAGTTTGTAAAAGAGCACCTGGATGTTCCACAGCACTACTGGCAGAATATACTGCGGACAGATGAAACCAAGATTGAGTTGTTTGGGAAGAACACACAACACTATGTGTGGAGAAAAAAAGGCCCAGCACACCAACATCAAAACCTCATCCCCACTGTGAAACATGGCGGAGGGAGCATCATGGTTTGGGGCTGCTTTGCTGCCTCAGGGCTGGACGGATTGTTGTCATTGATGGGAAAATGAATTCCAGAGTTTATCAAGACATTTTGCAGGAAAACGTACGACCATCTGTCCACCAACTGAAGCTCCGCAGAGGATGGGTGATGCAACAGGACAATGATGACCCAAAGCATACAAGTCATTCAACAAAACAATGGCTGCAACAGCACAGAATACGCCTTCTGGAGTGGCCCAGTCAGAGTCCTGACCTCAACCCCATTGAAATGCTGTGGCATGACCTTAAGAGAGCGATTCACACCAGACATCCCAAGAATATTGCTACACTGAAACAGTTTTGTGAAGAGGAGTGGTCCAAAATGACTCCAGATCGTTGTGCAGGTCTGATCTGCAACTACAGGAAACGTTTGGTTGAGGTTATTGCTGCCAAAGGAGGGTCAACCAGTTATTAAGTCCAAAGGTTCACATACTTTTTCCTCCCTGCGCTGTGAATGTTTACATGTTATGTGCAATTAAACCATGGCAACATCTAATGTTTGTGTAGTATTATGTTCAGCAGACTGTGTTCTTCTATTGTTGTGACTTAGATGTCGTTCAGAGCACATTTTATGCCCAATTCATGCAAAACTCCACGGAATCCCAAGGGGGCCACATACTTTTTCTTGCAACTGTATTGACAAAGCTTCATTGAACAAGCTGAAGTCAGAATCTGATTGGCTCCCACGCTCGGCTGCTCCAGATTCTGCACTCTCTGGTTTTAGTAAATCCCCCCCAATCATGGGTGGACTGACCATTCAAGCAATCCGGCACTGCCCGAGGGCCCGGGCTCAGTAGGGGGCCCCATGAAATGCTCCTGGTACTGTTTCAAATGCTTTTTTGGGTGTGGTTTGAGTGTGGGTGAGGACACAGGGGCCCCATGATCCCCTATTGCCTGGGGGCCCCATGAGTTGTCATCCGTCCCTGCCCCCAATGATTGGAAATCCAAAACTATCCGGTTGTCACCAGAACAGAAAGAAAGGGGAAGTCTTCCAATGGGGACACTAGTTCAGTGACAACTGATGAATGGGGGGGGGGGTTCCTATCACTTCCTGTTGGGTCTCTTGAGTCAGGAAGTGAAGGGAAATCTACCAATAGGGACGCAGATAGCAACAAATAAAGAGGTGTACGTTGTAACCCCGTCCTGGCTTCACTGACCCCCATACAATGGCCGGGCCCCTGACTGTCTCCTCTCTGCCCTCCTCACAGATGTGGCAGCTGTGCCCTGCGGGCGGGATTTCCTCATATCGGCCTGTGGAGGACTGATGGAGAGCTGGATCCAGATCCTCAGGAAGATCAGACTGGGGACGTGTAACCGCCTGAGAGTGTGAGCTGGGGATGGAGGGATGGATGGAGGGAAGGGTGGAGGGATGGCTGGATGGATGGAGGGAAGGGTGGAGGGTTGGCTGGATGGATGGAGGGATGGATGGATGGAGAGCTGGATCCAGATCCTCAGGAAGATCAGACTGGGGACGTGCAACCGCCTGAGAGTGTGAGCTGGGGATGGAGGGATGGGTGGAGGGATGGATGGATGGAGGGAAGGGTGGAGGGATGGATGGAGGGCTGGATGGATGGAGGGCTGGATGGATGGAGGGATGGATCCAGATCCTCAGGAAGATCAGACTGGGGATGTGCAACCGCCTGAGAGTGTGAGCTGTGCATGGAGGGATGGAGGGAAGGGTGGAGGGATGGATGGAGGGATGGAGAGCTGGATCCAGATTCTCAGGAAGATCAGACTGGGGACGTGTAACCGCCTGAGAGTGTGAGCTGGGGATGGAGGGATGGATGGATGGAGGGATGGATGGATGGAGGGATGGATCCAGATCCTCAGGAAGATCAGACTGGGGATGTGCAACCGCCTGAGAGTGTGAGCTGGGGATGGAGGGATGGATAGAGGGATGGGTGGAGGGATGGATGGAGGGATGGAGAGCTGGATCCAGATTCTCAGGAAGATCAGACTGGGGACGTGTAACCGCCTGAGAGTGTGAGCTGGGGATGGAGGGATGGATGGATGGAGGGAAGGGTGGAGGGATGGATGGAGGGCTGGATGGATGGAGGGATGGATCCAGATCCTCAGGAAGATCAGACTGGGGATGTGCAACCGCCTGAGAGTGTGAGCTGGGGATGGAGGGATGGATAGAGGGATGGGTGGAGGGATGGGTGGAGGGATGGATGGAGGGATGGAGAGCTGGATCCAGATTCTCAGGAAGTTCAGACTGGGGACGTGTAACCGCCTGAGAGTGTGAGCTGGGAATGGATGGATGAATAGATGGAGGGATGTGTGGAGGGAGGGATGGATGGAGGGATGGATAGATGGAGGGATGGATGGAGAACTGGATTCAGAACCTCAGGAAGATCAGACTGGGGATGTGCAACCATCTGAGAGTGTGAGCTGGGGATGGAGGGATGGATGGAGGGAAGGGTGGAGGGATGGCTGGAAGGAGGGAGGGATGGAAGGATAAATGGAGGGAGGGAGGGATGGATGGAAGGATGGATGGAGGGATGGATGGAAGGAGGGAGGGATGGAAGGATGGAGGGATGGATGGAGAGTGGGATGGAAGGATGGATGGATAGAGGGATGGAGGGAGGGATGAGTGGAGGGATGGATGGAGGGATGGAAGGATGGATGGAGGGTGGGATGTAAGGATGGATGGAAGGATAGATGGATAGAGGGATGGAAGGATGGATGGAGGGAGGGATGGATAGAGGGAGGGAGGGATGGATAGAGGGAGGGAGGGATGGATGGAGGGAGGGATGGTGGGATGGATGGGAGAATGGATGGAGGGATGGATCATTTCACCTTACCCCTGGCAGGCTTAGGCTGATATCTGTCCAATATCTCTATGAATCAGAGAGGTCTGCTATGAAAGGATGGATGGATGGATGGATGGGAGGATGGATGGATGGGAAGAGGGATGGATGGGAAGATGGATGGATGAATGGATGGAGGAATTCATTTTGTGTCTCTCTCCTGGCAGTCTCCTGCTGAAGTCTCTGTACAATGCCTCTATCAATCAGAGCGCCCTCCAATGGATGAGTCAGGTAGCGGGATTCCTCGGTGATCTGCGGCGGCTCCTGGCTGGTGAGTCACACAGAGTCCTCCTCATTGTCACCCAGCAGAGTCCTCCTCATTGTCACCCAGCAGAGTCCTCCTCGTTGTCACCCAGCAGAGTCCTCCTCGTTGTCACCCAGCAAAGTCCTCCTCGTTGTCACCCAGCAGAGTCCTCCTCATTGTCACCCAGCAGAGTCCTCCTCGTTGTCACCCAGCAGAGTCCTCAGCAGCGAGGACCAGGGTCCATAGAGCCAGATGAAGTCAGTCCAGGCTCTGAGTAGAAATACAAAGTCGAGTATGTGGAGGAACAGAGCAGACCTCCGATTGGGGGACCGGAGTGGTGAACCCAAGCAGACCTCAGATTGGGGGACCGGAGTGGTGAACCCAAGCAGACCTCAGATTGGGGGACCGGAGTGGTGAACCCAAGCAGACCTCAGATTGGGGGACCGGAGTGGTGAACTCAAGCAGACCTGAGATTGGGGGACCGGAGTGGTGAACTCAAGCAGACCTCAGATTGGGGGACCGGAGTGGTGAACCCAAGCAGACTTCAGATTGGGGGACCGGAGTGGTGAACTCAAGCAGACCTCAGATTGGGGGACCGGAGTGGTGAACCCAAGCAGACTTCAGATTGGGGGACCGGAGTGGTGAACCCAAGCCGACCTCAGATTGGGGGACCGGAGTGGTGAACTCAAGCAGACCTCAGATTGGGGGACCGGAGTGGTGAACCCAAGCAGACCTCAAATTGGGGGACCGGAGTGGTGAACTCAAGCAGACCTCAGATTGGGGGACCGGAGTGGTGAACCCAAGCAGACTTCAGATTGGGGGAGCGGAGTGGTGAACTCAAGCAGACCTCAGATTGGGGGACCGGAGTGGTGAACCCAAGCAGACCTCAGATTGGGGGACCGGAGTGGTGAACCCAAGCAGACCTCAGATTGGGGGACCGGAGTGGTGAACCCAAGCAGACCTCAGATTGGGGGATGGAGTGGTGAACCCAAGCTGACCTCAGATTGGGGGACCGGAGTGGTGAACCCAAGCAGACCTCAGATTGGGGGACCGGAATGGTGAACCCAAGCAGACCTCAGATTGAGGGACCGGAGTGGTGAACCCAAGCAGACCTCAGATTAGGGGACCGGAGTGGTGAACCCAAGCAGGCCTCAGATTGGGGGACCGGAGTGGTGAACCCAAGCAGACCTGAGATTGGGGGACCGGAGTGGTGAACCCAAGCAGACCTCAGATTGGGGGACCAGAGTGGTGAACCCAAGCAGACCTCAGATTGGGGGACCGGAATGGTGAACCCAAGCAGACCTCAGATTGGGGGATGGAGTGGTGAACCCAAGCTGACCTCAGATTGGGGGACCGGAGTGGTGAACCCAAGCAGACCTCAGATTGGGGGACCGGAGTGGTGAACCCAAGCAGACCTGAGATTGGGGGACCGGAGTGGTGAACCCAAGCAGACTTCAGATTAGGGGACCGGAGTGGTGAACCCAAGCAGGCCTCAGATTGGGGGACTGGAGTGGTGAACCCAAGCAGACCTGAGATTGGGGGACCAGAGTGGTGAACCCAAGCAGACTTCAGATTAGGGGACCGGAGTGGTGAACCCAAGCAGGCCTCAGATTGGGGGACCGGAGTGGTGAACCCAAGCAGGCCTCAGATTGGGGGACTGGAGTGGTGAACCCAAGCAGGCCTCAGATTGGGGGACCGGAGTACTTCGGTACTGGCTATAATGTTACAGGTGGTGGGGTACAAGACACAGATAATGAGGAGCCAGGTACAGGTTCCAATGCATTGGTGGAGCACAGGACACATGTTATGGGGCGCAGGACACAGGTTATGGGGTGCTGGACACAAGATCTGGTGTCTTCTGTTCCCATGTCAGGGTGGCACCCATCATACATGTCGTCCATCTTCTGTCTCCATGTCAGGGTACCACCCGTCATACATGTCCTCAATCTTCTGTCTCCATGTCAGGTTGGCACCTGTCATACATGTCCTCCATCTTCTGTCTCCATGTCAGGGTGGCACCCATCATACATGTCCTCCATCTCCTGTCTCCAAGTCAGGGTGGCCCCTGTCATACATGTCCTCCATCTTCTGTCTCCATCTCAGGGTGGCCCCCGTCATACATGTCCTCCATCTTGTGTCTCCATGTCAGGGTGATGACGGTGTTGTTCTCTCTGCAGATCCGGATGCCGAGGTGTGCCGACACGCTCTGCTCCTCTTCCAGTCGGTGGTGGTAGATCCGGACGTTCTGGGGCGGCTGTGGGGGGAGGTACAGGAGTGTCTGCCCAGCATCATGGAGCTTTCATTGAGCGCCGACACGCAACTGCAGAGGACCGCCAAGGATCTACTGGAGGAAGTCAGGGGGGCTGCAGATTAGAGCCACGTGTGATGGACCTGTGATGTCATATACTCTGGTGACATCACGCCATCTGCTGTGACGTCATATTGTTGCTGTATATTGGTGCACACGGGTGACATCATACACTGTCGGTGATGTCATACACTGTCGGTGATGTCATACACTGTCGGTGATGTCATTCTTCTACAAAGTTTCCGTTTCTCGTATTCTCACGATTGGTTTGAAGGAGAATAAAATATTGACCGTTCTTCTGTAGATTTGTCACTGAATCCTGCAGAGTGGAGACTTGTCTTCTGAGAAGGCCAAATTCCATCTCCCTCCCCGATATTGTACAAAATCTGTATATACAGCCCCCCCTCCATATAATACAGAATCGGTGTATATAAAGCCCCCCCCTCCATATAATACAGAATTGGTGTATATACAGCCCCCCCCCCTCCATATAATACAGAATTGGTGTATATACAGCCCCCCTCCCTCCATATAATACAGATCGGTGTATATACAGCCCCCCTTGCTCCATCTAGAAGATCGTCCTCATTTAGAAGAGTTGGGAGCCCTGAGAGACCTAGGAGGTTCTCAGACAGATCTTCCTCCTCATCTAGAAGAGTTGGGAGCCCTGAGAGACCTAGGAGGTTCTCAGACAGATCGTCCTCCTCATCTAGAAGATTTGGTAGCCCTGAGAGACCTAGGAGGTTCTCAGACAGATCGTCCTCCTCATCTAGAAGAGTTGGGAGCCCTGAGAGACCTAGGAGGCTCTCAGACAGATCGTCCTCCTCATCTAGAAGAGTTGGGAGCCCTGAGAGACCTAGGAGGCTCTCAGACAGATCGTCCTCCTCATCTCAAAGAGTTGGGAGCCCTGAGAGACCTAGGAGGCTCTCAGACAGATCGTCCTCCTCATCTAGAAGAGTTGGGAGCCCTGAGATACCTAGGAGGTTCTCAGACAGATCGTCCTCCTCATCTAGAAGAGTTGGGAGCCCTGAGAGACCTAGGAGGCTCTCCGACAGATCGTCCTCCTCATCTAGAAGAGTTGGGAGCCCTGAGAGACCTAGGAGGCTCTCAGACAGATCTTCCTCCTCATCTAGAAGAGTTGGGAGCCCTGAGAGACCTAGGAGGTTCTCAGACAGATCGTCCTCCTCATCTAGAAGAGTTGGGAGCCCTGAGAGACCTAAGAGGCTCTCAGACAGATCGTCCTCATCTGGAAGGGTTTGGACACTTCTGGAAGAGTTTAGCCTCCCTCTTTGGAAACAATTGGGAGCTGGGGTGGGAGCTCTCGAAGATCATCCTTCTCATCTGAAAAAGTAAGGGACCTTGGGGAGAAAGCAGCCATTTAGGAGAGTTGGGAGCCCTCTGAGAAAGCCAAGAATCTACTTAGAAAGATGACCTCTGAAAGAGCTGGGTGGGGGGGGGGGGGGGGTCCTCAAAAATCACCCTTCTGGAAGAGTTAAGGAAGTCTGAGTGGGTTTGAGGCCCTCTGGGAGAGTTAGGAGCCCTCTGGAAATTGTGTCCTCCTCATATGGAATAGCTGGGTCCTCGGGTGGAATTCCACCTTCTACCCTGGTAGAGTTGAGGCCCACTGTGATAGTTAAATCCCTCTGGAAATGATGTCCTACTCAACTGGAAAAATTGGAGCCCTGTGGCAGAGTTCATCCTCCTCCTCAAAAAGAGTTGAGGCCCTCTGGAAGAGTTGAGAGCCCTCCAAAAAGATGTCCCTCCCATCTGGAAAAGTTGAGGCCCTCTAGGAGAGCTTATCAGGGAAAATTGAAATCCCATTTGAAAATACATCCTCTTTAATTGGAAGAGTTGGTGACCTCTGAGAGAGTTCATCTTTCTCGTCTGGAAGAGTTGAGGTCCTCTGCAAGAGCTGAAATCCCTCAGTAAAAAATATCCATCCCAGCTGGAGGAGTTGAGACCCTCTGGGAGAGTTAGCCTTCCGATGTCCTCCTCATCTGGAATAGTTTGGGCCCTCAAGAGGAGTTCAGCCTCCTTCTTTGGAAGAGTTAAGGTCCTTTACCAGCGTCAACATCCCTCTGCAAAAGATTTCCTTTCTCAACTGGAAGAGTTGGAGCCCTCTGGGAGAGTTCTTCCTCCACTGGAACAATTAAGGCCCTTTGTGAGAGTTGAAATTCCTCTGGAAAACATGTCAGAAAGAGTTAAGGCCTTTTGGAAAAGTTGCGAGCCCTCTGGCAGAGCTGGGAGTTCTCTGGGAGAGATCATGCTCATCTGGTAGAGTTAGGGACTCTGAAAGGGCTGGTGGATTTCTGGAAGAGTTTGACCTCCATCTTTGAAAGGGTTGAAGTTCTCTGGTAGAAGTGTGAGCCCTCTGGAAAAGATATCCTTTCCATCTGGAAGAGTTGATGTCCTCTGGGAGGTACATCTTCCTCTTCTGGAAGAGTTGAGGTCCTCTGCAAAAGTGGAAATCCCTCTGGAAAAGATATCCATCCCAGCTGAAAGAGTTGAGGCCCTCTGGGAGAGGTAGAAGCCTTCCGGAAAAGATGACCTCCTCATCTGGAATAGTTGGGGCCCTCAAGAGGAGTTCAGCCTCCTTGTCTGGAAGAATTAAGGCCCTCTATCAGAGTTGAAATCCCTCTGCGAAATATTTCTTTCTCAGCTGGAAGAGTTGGAACCCTCTGGGAGAGTTCTTCACCCTCCGCTGGAACATTGAGGCCCTCTGAGAGAGTTGAGATTCCTCTGGAAAACATGTCTATCTCATCAGGAAGAGTTAAGACCTTTTGAAAGACTTGAGAGCCCTCTGGTAGAGCTGGGAGTTCTTTGGGAGAGATCATGCTCATCTGGATGAGTTAGGGACTTTGAAAGGGCTGGGGTATCTCTGGGAGAGATCATACTCAGCTGGTAGAGTTAGGGACTTTAAAAGTGCTGGGGGATTTCTGGGAGAGTTTGACCTCCATCTTTGAAAGAGTTGAAATCCTCTGGGAGAAGTGGAAGCCCTCTTCAAAAGATGTCCTTCTCATCTGGAAGAGTTGATGCCCTTTGGGAGAATTGAAATCTCTTTGGAAAATATGTCCTCCTCAACTGGAAGAGTTGGGGTCTTCTTGGGAGCGTTGGGCCCCTGAGAAGGAGAATGGGCCCTTGTGAAAGAGGTGGAGTGCTTTTGGAGAAGTTGGGGCTCCAGTGGAGAAAAAGAGGTGGAGTGCTTTTGGAGAAGTTGGGGCTCCAGTGGAGAAAGGATGAGCCCTTGTGAAAAAGGGTAGGGTCCCTCTGGAGAAGTTGGGGCTCCCGTGGATGAAAGGAGGTCCATGCAAAAGTTGTATCTGTCAATAAATGAAAGAGAAAAGCGGGGTTCCTGTGGAGGTTTTGAAGCCCCTTTAGAACACATGGGACCACTGAGAAGTAGCTGGGGTCCCTTTTTTACAAGTTAGGGCCCCTGTGAACAAGGAAGGGGTCTAGATGGGAGGTGAAACCCTCCAAAGAAGTTGGGGTCACTGTGGAAGATGGGCATTTGTGAAAGAGGTGGCATCTCTCTGAACAAGTCGGGGTCCCTATAGAGTAGTTCAGATCCCTTTGGAGAAATTAGAAGTGGTGTGAAGATGTGGGATCCCTTTGGAAACATTGGAGCCCTTGCGAAAAAAAGCTTGGTCCCTCTGGAAACTGTGGAGTTGATGTGGAGGAGGATGGGCCTTGTAAAGGAGGAGTAGGGTCTCTTTGTAAAGGTTGGGGCCCCTGTGGAGGAAGATGGGCCCTTGTACAGGAGGTGGGCTCCCTCTAAAGAAGTTGGGGTCATTGTGGAAGATGAGCCCTTGTGAAAAAGATGGAGTCCCTCTGGATAAGTGGGGGCCCTTATAGAGTATTTTGGATCCTTCTGGAGACATTGGGGTAGCTTTAAAGAAGTGAGGACCCTCTGGAAAAATTGGGGTCCTTATGAAACAAAGCTGGGTCCCTGTGAAGGAGTTGAAGCCCCTGTAGGATAGATGGGGCCCCTATGGAGAATGGGCCCTTGTGAAAGAGTTGGGGTCACTTTATAGAGGTTGGGGTCCCTGTGGAGGAGGATGGGTCCTTGTACAGTAGGTAGGCTCCCTCTAGACAAGTAGGGACCCCTATAGAAAAAAGTTTGGATCCCTGTGGAGAAGTTGGGGCTGCTGTGAAGATGTAGGGTCCCTCTAGGATAGTTAAGGTCTGTATGAAGAAGTTGGGGTCCTTTTGGGAGAAATGTGGCCCCTGTAAGATAGTTATGATCTCTCTGAGAAAGTGGGGCTCCTGTGGGATAGCTAGGGCTGCTATGAAATAGTTGGGGCCCCTCTGGAAACTGTGGAGGAGAATGGGCCTTGTAAAGGAGGATTAGGGTCCCGTTGTAAAAAGTGAGGCCCCTGTGGAGGAGGATGGGCCTTGTAAAGGAGGAGTAGGGTCCCTTTGTAAAAAGTGAGGCCCCTGTGGAGGAGGATGGGCCTTGTAAAGGAGGATTAGGGTCCCTTTGTAAAAAGTGAGGCCCCTGTGGAGGAGGATGGGCCTTGTAAAGGAGGAGTAGAGTCCCTTTGTAAAGTTGGGGCCCCTGTGGAGGAGGATGGGCCTTGTAAAGGAGGAGTAGGGTTGCTTTGTAAACTTTGGGCCCCCCGAGGAGGAGGATGGGCCTTTGTACAGGAGGTGGGCTCCCTCTGAAGAAGTTGGAGCCATTGTGGAAGATGGGCCCTTGTGAAAAAGATGCAGTCCTTCTGGACAAGTTGGGGCCCCAATAGAGTATTTTGGGTCCTTCTGGAGACATTGAGATGGCTGTAAAGACGTGAGGTTCGTCTTTGAAAGTTGGGGCCCTTGTGAAAAAAAGCTGGGTCCCTGTGAAGGAGTGGAAGACCCTCAAGGATAGTTGGGGCACCTATGGAGAATGGGCCCTTGTGAAAGAGTTGAGGTCCCTTTATAGAAGTTGGGGTCCCTGTGGAGAATGGGTCCTTGTACATGAAGTTGGCTCTTTCAAGACAAGTAGGGGCCCCTAATGGAAAGTTGTGGTCCCTGTGGAGAAGTTGGGGATGGTATGAAGAAAACAAGTCCCTCTTGGAAAGATGGGGCCC